CAATCCAGTGAGTGACATCCCAGAGCCTCAGTATCTACTTTTCTATTGACACCAACAATGTCTCTGGGAAATTCCCCTGGATGCATCCCAGGTATGGATAGTCTTTATCCCTTAAAACACCAAATCTAAGCTCTGTCCTAAGTTTTAAAGATGTTTTATTCAAATAGTTGTCATAAAATATTAGAAAATAATGTCAACTTGAGGTCTACCATCCAGGACAGCATTGTAGTCCACAATCTTAATTTTTACCATCACCTCTGCATGAGGTCCTATGAGTCCAAGTAGAATAGGCCCATAAGGAATTGATGATGAGGTCAGTGTGGCTATTGCCAGAGCTCAGGATCACCTCCATCCCTGGTCCCACTCTGGTTTCCTGAAACTAGATCTAAAGATTTTTACTTCTTCATAACCAAGGCTGCATTTTCTATGCCCGTATACTCATCATAAGTAAGGCTGTCTAATCCACAATTATTAACAAAATGTGAATTTGTTACTCTGATGGTTATCAGCAGAAGGGTTCTTTTGTGCCTTGCATCTCCTTGGCCCTCTACCATTCCAAGGAGAATAGGACTGTGCACTGGTCCACTTCTCAATTGATTGTCTTGGGCTCTGTCACTTGGGGTGTTGTTGACCTGCTTTGCTCCTGTTGCCCACACTTGAGAAGGCCTGGGGCCTGCTAAAGCTGAACCCTGTGAATTATATTGATCCTCAGGAGAACCTGTCACAATTCAGTCATTATTGGCAATGCTTTCTGTGTCTGCACAAAACTGATGACATCAGATACATGAGAGTCATATACCATGTCATGGAACAATCTCTACAGTGTAAATTTTCCTGCATTCTCAGGATCCACAGGGCCTATCTGTATTATTTTGTGCACCCATTGCTCCAACCTGAGGAGGAACTCAGTAAGTTTTTCACCTTTGTACTACACATTATTAAACACAAAGTTAACATAGAGGTCTTGTGATCTACTCCCCTCAAATATCTCAGCTAAAGTTTGTGTGCATTCATGCCACATAACATTTACCCTTTCCTCTACGAGGGCATCCACTGCTAATGTAGCTGTTACCCTTAGGATATCTGTCAGTCTCATCACTTTGTCTGGCTCGGTCCTAGGTACACTGTCATCTGTCCAACCCAAGTCTCCCAGGATTTTTCTCGCAGGGAATATGGTTCTTTGTCCAGAGAAAATGCCAATTTGGAGCCTAGAGTATCTGTATACCACAGAGGGTATGGCCTCTGTCTTACTCGTAAAGATTTAATTGTGACAGTCAATCCATTGGGATGCCTCTTTTGATTAGAAGGGCTCCTACACTTTAGCAATTAGGTTAAAGGAGTTCTTCATCCTCAGAGATTGGACAAGATTGAAATTCCCAGGAATTATTTCCTCCTGTCAGTTCCTTAGTATATATCTCCAAAGTGAAAATGCTTAGGGAGGATTAGAAAAAAAACTTTGTGAATCATCTCACCTTCTTTACATTCAATGGCCTTAACTGTGCATCCTTCTAATCCTTTCACTTATTTGCTCAATATCCTTAAAATATCCTTTTTCTTACCATCTGGATCTACTCCTGACATTAGGAGACCTCTATGCTTTTCAACTGCAAAAGCAAAACACTACCTCTCAATTATCTTAACTCCCATAATTTCTAGAGATTGATCCACAAGTGTTCATATCAACATACAAATATTAATACAATTAATAAATGTACAGTATTGTAGGAACAATGGTAAATGGGATTAATATACTGTGCTTAAACAACACAACAGTACAGCAGAAAACATGAATTAAAATCATGAAAACAGTACCAATGACTTTTTTCATGTATCAACATATAGCAATTAATTATAAATTTTAAGAAATACACCACATCAATAAATTCAACAATTTTATAACAGTAAGATAAAGCCAAGGCAATTTGGATAAACTTGTTACTTCCAAAAACAGTAAAACAAGAATAAAAAATACATTAAAAAAATTCCAGGATACAACTAAGAAGAAACAAAATTATCTATGGCTCTTAAAAAAAAATATGCTTCCTATGAAGAAAAAAATGCATAAAGAATTTTTTTTTTAGAATGGGGAGACAAAATCCACTTCTAAAACAAAAACAAAAACTGACCACAGTGGAAAAAAAATTCTAGAAACTATCTTTCTAAGCCAAAGCATCCCAACGCTCATACTGCTTGTCTGAGGCAACATCCATTTCAATGCAAAGGGTTAAGGTAAGAAATGAGAAAAAAATAGATGGCTTCAGGACTCATCAACAATTCAGTTCAATTCAATAAACATTTATTAAGAACCTACTTTGTGCCAGGCTAAGTGCTAAGCACTGGGGATACAAAACGAGGCAAAAGACGGTCATTGTCCTCAAAGAGCTTACAATCTAATGGGGGAGGTAACATGCAAACAAATATATACAAAGTAAGCTATATACAGAGTAAATAGGAAATAATCAAAAGAGGGAAAGCAGTGGAATTAAGAAGGGTTAGGGAAGGCTTCCTGTAGAAAGTAGGATTTTAGTTGGGACTTAAAGGAAGCCAGGAGAGTCAGTAGTTGGAGCAGAAGAGGAAGGGCATTCCTGACATGGGGGATAGCCAGAGAAAATGCCCAAAGTCTACATGCAGTGTTTTATCCTCAGAAGAGCCAGGAGGCCAACGTCACTAAATTCAAAGGGTACCTTTCAAAGAGGAAGATGAAAGAAGACTGGAAAGGTGGGAGGGGGCTAGGTCATGAAGGGCTTTGACTGCCTATCAGAGCATTTTGTATTTGATCCTGGAGGCCACTGGAATTTATTGAGTAGGGTAGGGAAATACAATCAGACCTGAATTTTAGGAAAATCACTTTGGTGAATGAATGGAAGATGGATTGGAGTGGGAAGAGACTTGAGGCAGGCAGGCCCACCAATAGGCTATTGCAATAATCCTGGCATGAGGTGATGAGGGCCTACACCAATGGGTGGTGGCAGTGTCAGTGGAGAGAACGTGACATATGTCAGAGATGCTGCAAAGGTTAAATCAACAGGTTTGGATATGGGGGCAGGGGTGGAATTGAGAGAAAGGAGTCGAGGATAACTCTTAGGTTGTGAGTCTGATAGACTTGGAGGATGGTGTTGCCCTCTACAGAAATATGGAAGGTAGGAGTTGTTGTTTAATCCTGTCCAATTCTTTGTGACCCCATTTGGTGTTTTCTTGGCAAGGATACTGCAGTAGTTTGCCATTTCCTTCTCCAACTCATTTTACAGATGAGGAAACTGAAGCAAAGTTAAGTGACTTACTCAGGGTCACCCAGCAAGTAAGTAAGTGTCTAAGGCCAGATTTGAACTCATGAAGATGAGTCTTCCTGGCTCTAGGCCTGGCACGCTCTTCACTGTACCATCTAGCTGCCCCAAAGGTAGGAGAGGGGAAGGCTTAGGGGGAAAGTTTCTCTTTTGGATATATTAAGTAAATCATGCATAGTTTAAGAAAAAATAGCAAATGCCCTCCCCACCCCCACCCCACCACACAAAACCTCTTACAAAAATAACTAACCAGAAATTATCTTTGCTCCAGACAACAGTGAAGAGAGGATTCCTCTTCTCTCCTGCTTCTCACCATCTCCATCTGCTCCTTATTTAGGTGTAGGGCATTGATCTCCACCAGTGAGGAGAGAGTTCAATACCAATAGGCCCTGGGACTCAGCTTATACCTGTAAGGTCAAATTTCTCTCCTAGCCAGACTTACCACTGGTTTTGCTTGTTACTCATGGTTTGTACATTTGGATATAGACATGGGGTTATATTGCTTGGATTTTGTCTCCAATGGATTTCTGAGTGACTCTACTATTATTATTCCTACATAGAAGCTACTTTCAATCTTATCACGCTTGGTGGATATACATAGGTTTTTTGTTTGTTTATTAATTGGGGGTAAGGAATTGAGGTTCTTTTTTTCTTTTACAAAAGGATACTTACTGAACACAGAGCAAGAATAGAAGTTACAAACATTTTCTCTAGACATCTAAATACACAATCTCCCCTATACCACAGAAATCCATGAGTGAGAGCTGGCTCAAATATCAAGGATTTGCTACAAAACATTCACATCAACCAAGGTCGCTTCCAAATGCCAAATTGCTGATGGATATATCAGTCTGAGTCTCTGCTACTGCTAGGCTGTGTCAAGCTGGTAGCTCTTCAGGGTCTTGGCATAAATAAATTTCTCCCTCTCTCTTCCTTTTCAGATCAAGCTCTTTCTATTAGCATCATAAGACAACAGGCAACCCAGTCTTGCCATTTGTTGTGAGGCATTTTATCCCTAACCAAGAGCTTGCAATGCCTGTATTTTAAGCCATGGGTCAGAAATCCAAGTCTCAATCTGAGAAATCATCTTATTAATCAACTATTCATTTCCTTGATCTGCCTTTCTCTTCTGAAGCCATTGTCTTTTATCACTAGCAGTCATAGAAATATCACCTGCATCCCTAAAATCTTCAGTTTCTCACCCAAGACTTCATAATCTTTAGCACTGCTTTCTACATTCCTTTTTTGGCAGTATCCTCTGTGCCCACCTGAATCAGTGAAAAAGGGCAGAATTCATCCAGTTTGAGAATTCTGGGAGATTTAATGTTGCATCCTGAATACATGCCCTTGAACGTTATTAGACCTCTTTACTATTAGATTTAGGTTGACAAACAGGTGCTTCATCATCCCTCATCAAGTGGTTACCAATCTCTTCTTCCTCTGACCTTTACTGGATGATCACTCACATAGCTATAGATTCAGATCATCAGCATTTGGCAAACAAGTATGCGCTTTCTCCCCAAAGGGTACAGCTCTGTCCTTAACTTACCCAAAGTTACATTCAACCCAAGGTTCTCTGGCTCCAAATCTGCTACCATTTCCATTATACTCTGCTGCGTCTTATGAACTTCCTTCAAGAACACGAGCTGCAGAGGACAACATTGAGGTTTTCTTAGTCATTTGAGGCACCTGAATTGACCCAGTGTTTTCTTCTAGAATGCAGATGATTATCACAGAATATACTTGGACTCAGACCAGCAGTATTTCCAGATAAACCTACATTCCAAAACATTGGTCAAAGAAGAGATTCTCCTAGAGGAGAAGACGACCTATGCTATGATTCTGTATGGAAAAAGAAAGTTTTACTCAGTCATACTGGTGAGAGTTGGGAGTGGAGACTGGATGAGAAGAGACAGGGCAGCCCTAGGAGAAGGAGGGAGAGAGAAGTGGGGAGACAAAAAAAGGAAGGGTTAAGTAGAGAAGAAAGAAAGATGACACTGTCTGAACAGGATTAGGGACATCCTTAGGGTGGTTCGTGATGATTTCTCTCCCTCTCTTTGCTTTAGATCAAGGAGACAACTACCAAACCACCGAATGGAGTTGCATATGTGAGGTATATATGATTCAGTTCTCAACTAAAAAAAGGTATCTTTCAGGGGCAGTGGAAGGCAGCATGTCCTGAGGCCCTGTCCATCACACCCAGTGGGCTTAGAGAAAATATTTATGTTTTCCCACCTGTAGGCCTAATGTATTTGTCAGTACCTGTTCATCTGCCTGTCCGTCTCACATTGGGAAACACCCTTTGGGCAGTACCATTGCCCAAGAACGTATCTCAGATGGGGAGCCCTTACGGGGCTGTACTTAAGTGATTCTCCAATTACATCGTTTCCATAAAGACAAAACAATTATTTGCCAAATTAACAAAGAATGACAAGTTACTCATCTATAATATAATAATAATAATTTTTGAAAATCACATTTTAGGGAGATTTAAAGAAATAGAAAAAGTATAAAAACATAATAGCACCATTTATATAATAGTATAATCATTATAATGACTTCTCATAATGTAATAACTATTATCAATAATTAGTTATTCTAACCACCATTAATAATGTAACCTACTGCCACCATTCAGAATAAGTATATACCTTCATTCCCAGAATCTCAGAGCTGGAAGGGAGCCCAGAGGCCATCTAGCTTGGCCTATACCTGAATAAAAATCATCTATTACAAAATACTGAATACAAATCCCCTACAACAAAATACTACAAAATACAATTGTTTATCCAGGCTTCTTTGGAAGACTTCTAGTGAGATAGAAGTTGCTGCCTCCTGATCAAGAAATTCATTAATTATTAGAAAGCTTTTCCTTATATTGAGCATAAACTTGCCTCTCTACAACTTCAGTCAGTCATAAGGCATTTATGAAATACTTAGTATGTGTAAGGCTCTGTGCTAAATTCTGGGCATACAAAGAAAAAAAATATGGTCCCTACCCCCAAGGAACTCATATTCTAAAGGGTGAGACAACATGCAAACGATTGTATATATACAAAATATATACAATGTAAATGAGAGATTGTCTCAGAAAGAAGGCATCATCAAAAGAAGGAAACCTAAAAAAGGCTTTCTGCAAAAAGCAGGATTTGAGCAGTCTTGAAGGAAACCAGGGAAGCTTTTTTGGCTTCCTTTTTGGCCAAAGGGAGGAGAGAGTATTCGAGGCATGAGAGATAGCCAACATAAAAGTCAAGAGTGGAAAGATGGAGGGTCATGTGAGAGGAACAGGATAGAGCACAGAGTCAGTATGTATGCAGGGGAATAAGTAACAAGATGGATGTCTTCTAGGTTTTCCTTCTGGAGCAAGAGAGAGAAAGCCTAGAGAGCCTTTCAAATAACCTGAAGACAACTGTCACATCCACCCTGAGTCAAGTTGTCTTTTCTCCAGGCTGAACATCCCAAATTCCTTCAATTGGTCCTTGTGTGGCACAATCTTGAGGGCAAGAGCCATTCCCACATTTTAAGCCATGGTGTAGAAATCCATATCCTGCTTTCACACACCATCTTCCCTTCTCATATTTGGGGGAAGAGGATGGGGTCTGTTTTTTATCTTTCATCAGCAACAGAAATTTTTCTGTTTTCACACCATCTATGTCCTTGAGGTCTTCAGTTTCCTGCCCAATACTTCATCATCACGAGCAACGCTTTCTAGAGTTGTGGCAATACCATTTGTGCCCGTGTGAATCAGGATCAGCATAAGCAGGTAGCATTCATTTACTCTGAGAAGTCTTGAGAGAGTTACCATCACGGCCTGGCTATCTGCCCTGGTGAGACAACAGACCTCTCTTCTGCTATGGTCTGTCTCATCTCTCCTCCGACTTTCACCCCTTACTTCTCTCTTCTTCCGCTGACCCTTACTGAATGGGCTGTGACACGCTGGGTCCTGGGAATGAATCCTACTTCCATGACAATCCTTGTATCCATTCCCCTTCCTCTATCCCCCTTCCCTGACACCCCAGTTCAGGTCCTCATCACCTCTTGTCTCCTTTAGACTCTAGCTATTGCTAAAGGCTCCCAATTGGCCCCGTGCCTCATTCCCACAGAGCTACCGAACTGATACTGAACTAGAGCACCAGCCTGACCATTCATAGTCCCCTGCTTAAGAAGCTGCAGTGTTTCCTTACTCTCTTCAGGGTAAAACACAATTTCCTCCATGTGATAGGGGAAATCTTTCACAATTCACCTCCAGACTCACTTTTTAGGCAGATTAGACATTAATCCCCCTTGAGTACTCTACATTCTAGCCAAACCAGCCTCTTCATTCTTCTCTCTACCCAACATTACGTCTCTTGGGGGCAGCTAGGTGGCACAGTAGATAGAGAACTGGCCCTGAAGTCAGGAGGACCTGAGTTCAAATTCGGCCTCAGACCAAACACTTGACACTTACTAGCTGTGTGACCCTGGGCAAGCCACTTAACCCTAATTGCCAAAAACAAAAACAAAAACAAAAAAAAACATTACATCTCTTGTCCCCATGGCTTTGCACAGGCTGTCCCCAGGCCAAGAATGTACTTTTTTCCTCACCTCTGTCTGTTAGGGTCCCTAGTCTCCTAATAGGATAACTGGGGCACCTCTCAAGCATTACCATGCCAGTGCTCCTCAGACTTTCATTGCTCATTCTTTATATTTACTACTATTGCTGCTGCTGCTACTACTGCTGCTACTGCTGCCCCTAACTACTAACTGCTGCTACTACTATTATTGCTGCTGCTGCTGCTGCTGCTGCTACTAACCTACTACTACTATTACTATGACTACAACCATTTTCTACAACTACAACTAGCTGTCATTCACATGGCCGTTAAAGGTTTTCAAAGGACTTAAATCATTGTTACCTCATTTGATCTTCACAATAACCTTGAGAGGTTGGTGCTATTACCATCTCCTTTTTACAGCTGAGAAAACTTAGGCTGAGAGGGTCACATCTCAGCACGGCCAATCATGGTCACACACCTTGTCTAAGCCAAGGTTTGAAGTCAGATCTTGAGTTCAACACTCCATCCAATTGTGCCACCTAGTGGCCCGTACTATACTTTGTGTATATATTGTATTTATTTATCTGTGTTCATGTTTTCATGCCTCCAGTGGAACGTAAACTCCTTGAGGTTCCATTTTTATCTTTGCGTTCCCTCTCTGACAAGGGAAAATAACAATTGGCAATAACATATCTCTGTTTTATACCTAACTTGACATTAATAATCATAAGATCATCAAATAAATTTATCTCTGTTGTTACATACGTCCAGGAATCTTGAATGATTTTGACAAATACGTGGGGAAATAGCTTATTAAAGCTGAGCCTTTAAAGTGGTGTTTTAACCTTATGAATCAATTTTTAGTAGTCAATCAATGAATAAAGTAGGATCCCATATTCTCAGAGATGTATCTAAAATGGGTGACTTCAGTGTTATCCTTCAGGGAGGGAATTGCCCAAAAGTAGGACCAAGGGCTGCTGACAGCAATTTAATTTTTCTAAGGAAGAAGGTAAAGGCAAAACCTGGTGGTTAGCTGGGGGTTTTCTCTTTTAACCACCATTAATCTATTTTTTAAATAATATTTTATTTTTCCCCAATTACATCTAAAAACAATTTTAACATTTTTTTTTAAGTTTCAAATTCCAAATTTTATCCCTTCCTCTCTCCCCCTACCCAAGATGACAAGCAATCTGATACAGGTTATACATGTACAATTGTGTAAAACATATTTCCATATTAGTCATTTTGTGGAAGAAAACTTAAACTAAAAAAAGAAAAAGGTGAAAAGTAGCATGCTTCAGTCTGTGTTCAGACATCAGTTCTTTCTCTGGAGGTGAATAGCATTTTTCATCATGAGTCCTTTGGAATTGTTTTGGATTGCTGAGAATAGCGAAGTCATTCATAGTTGCTCATCATACAATATTGCTATTACCACACACAATGTTCTCCTGGTTCTGCTCATTTCACTTTGTATCAGTTCATGTAAGTCTTTCCAGATTTTCTTGAAATCATACTGCTCATCATTTCTTATAGCACAATAATATTCCATAACAATGATATAACACAGTTTGTTCAGCTATTCCCCAATTGATGGGCATCCAATTTCCAATTCTTAGCCACCACACACAAAAAAAAAAGCTGCTATAAAAATTTTTGAACAAGATCTTTTTCCCTTTTTTTGATCTCTTTGGTATACAAACCTAATAATGGTATTGCTGGATCGAAGGGTGTACACAGTTTTATAGCCCTTTGAGCATAGTTTCCCCCTAATTCATTTTCAAAGCTTTTCTATCAAAGGAGTATAAGTTTACTAAAATTTATTTCCTTGTTTGCAAAACACATGTACAAGAAAGATTGATCTAGGCACTTGTGAGGGAGCTGGGCAGTTTCCAGCAGGCCCAGAAGGTCATGACAGTCTCCATCTCTGCTCATTGATATATCATGTCAAGCCCAGGGCTATGAAAGGTCCTTCATTAAATCCCAGTGCCCCCTCCGCACCAATGTTTAGTTGTTTTCCTGTTGAATTTGATGTATTTCTGCACTAAACTCTGTGTGTGTGTGTGTGTGTGTGTGTTCAGTGTTTGTTGGTTTTCAGATAAGAATAAGGTTCATCTTGCACCCACTGTCCAAAGCCCTTCCTTCACGTGTATTTTTCTCACGTGTGCAAATTATGAGGACTAGCATACACTACACTAGAGTCCGCCTCCTCTTACCCTCCCTTCTATTTCCCCTCAGAACAGAACCAATGCATTCCTAGGACATCATTTTTATTCTTGTTTTTTCCCTATTTGGATTCACTGTTATTCAAAAATCACTGTTCAACCCCCTCTCTGATACCTCCCTACGCCAGCCAGATGTAAATTTATGACATCAAAATAATACAAAAGAAAATTTACTAAATAGACTGGTATGGAAATAATAATTAAAAAAAAATTAGCAGCAAACGCTGTTCTCAACCCCCATTTCCCAAACTATCACTTTCCGTGCCTCCTATCTTGGACGGAGCATGAGGACATCCAACGTAGGCCAGTGGAAAAGCAAAACAGAAATTGTGAGCTGACGGAACTCTCTTTCTCTCCCTGATATATAAACATGATGCAGTGAGGTGTGCCACCTCTTTCTTCTAGGGCAACTGCTGTGCTATTATTGTATGCTGGTCCCACAGTGGTGGCTGGGTAGATTGATCCCTGCTAACCAGCTCTGGGGCTCCATGTCTTCATGCCCTCTGCTGGCCATCTTTGCTTCAGTCAACTCAGATTTAGTGGCTAGAAAGGCCTGATTAAGGCAGGCCCAGCTGCCTTTGGTTAATACTTAGCAGATTCCGGCCAAAGCCCTAATGCAAACAGAAACAACTTTCCCAGACTTCAGAGAACAATTTGTCCCTATTTTATGCACAAATTTCTTTCTAGTTTGCATTATAAGTACTATATATTTATTATATAGTCTTGCTCACTTGGCAACTCCCATGCTTGATTGTAAATTCTATTTGGGAGGTTTTCTAAACTCTATATCAACTCCAGTGCCAAGCACAGTTCTCTGCTCACAGTAAATATTTAATAAAAGTTTGTTGAATGAGGAAGGCAGCGTGGTGTGATGGAAGTTGGAGACATGAGGCCTGGATCTGAGTTCTGTTTATTAGCTGTGTGACCAGGGGCTAGTCGCTTAACCTCTCACCTGCAATACCTTCCCCTAGACATAGCAAAAGTATGTCCATGGCCTAAGAAAATGGCAGAAAATGTCCAATTCAAATATATCCATTCCATAGTATCCATGGTGCGATATCACAAGTCCTTTGTAGTCCTCTCTAGAGATAAGATAAGCCTAAAGCATGGTGGGATAACACCAGTGGAATTCCATGAGTGAGATGTGAAAGTAGAGGATGGGTTGCTATGTTTGATACTTAAACCCACATCCTCACACCCAAAGACACTGTACGTAAACACTTACTTGGATTCAAGAAGACCTGGAATCCCACCTCAGAGACTTATTAACTATATTTCCCCATGCAAACTCTATCCACCTCAGTGTCCTCATTAGTAAAATGAAGACATTGGTCTTTAAGGTCCCTTCTAATCCTAAATCTATGATACTATAATTACTTTATAGGCATGAATCCAGGATTGGCAGATTATGGTTTATTCTCACTGAGAAGGATCATGGTAGTATTTGCGGTTGATACAGAACATGGTATACAGTGCATTGCCTTGATCACAGGTAGTAAACATCTGTAATACAGTCCTATATCATTCACAGAATGGTAGGAAGCTAGTAACTGAGAGCCAGTCCCAAAACATTAAGTGAGAAATACTAAAAGGGTACTAAGCAAGATCAAAGAGAGCCTGTGATAAAAAGAGAATCCACAGATGGAAGAGCCTGTAGGATTCAGCGGCACTCATATTCTGGCCAGGCCTGTACATGCCTGTTCATAGGCTTCCAGCCCCATTTTTGCTTTTAACTGCATTTGCCTAAGACTTTGATGTCTCTAAGGATACTCCTGGGCCAGTGTGACCAACGGGCAGGTACATTTATGAGCAAATTTATTTGTGAGGCAAGAAGGCACCCAGGTGTCCTGGTACTACAGACTCAATAACTGAACAATTAAACTCAACAAACACATCAAGCACCTAACCAACGAAGACAGAACATGAAAAGTGGCATCAAAGGGAGATTAGCCAGAGATGGAGGTCATAGAGCAATGACCACAAATGGTCTGAGCACTTCGCTATTATGTTTAGTTATGAGTTTTGAAATAACATAACTGGTTTTGGTCATACTCTTGCTTTTTCTGTGGGATTTTGTAATTTTTTTTTGTTTGTTTTCAAAGTACAGGTTTCAATTATTTTTCAGCAGTTTCAGTGAATTTTTGTGCCTCTTTTACTATTAGGCCAATTCTATTTTTTAAGTTGGTATTTTCTTCAGTATTTTTTGTGCCTATTTTACCAAGATGTTAATTCTCTTCTGACAATTTTCTTGTATCACTCTCATTTCTTTCTTAATTTTTCCTCTACCATTCTTCTTTAAGTCTTCTAGAATTCTTGTTGGACTTAGATCCAATTAGCATTTTTTTTTGTAGCTATTTTCACATTGTTGTCTTCTTCTGAGTTTGTGTCTTGTTCTTCCCTTCCACTGTATTTGATTTTTATGGCCATGTTCTATTTTTTTTGTTGTTGTTGTTGGCTCATGTACAAATCACCGGACTTGCAAGCAGAAGACTGATTTAAATCCCACTTCAGACACCCACTTGAATTGATAGAGCCCTGCTAAGTAAATGAAGCATGTCTTCTCTTTGTGTTTCTCTACTATGCTGAGATTTGATGGCATCCACTGAATAAGTCCAGCAGAGAATCTAGGCTCCCAACAGTTTTCTTTGTTATATGCTCTAAGACTGGCAAGGTTTTCAGTCCTGATTTGTCATTGGTCTGTCTTGGCATCTGAATGTGGCTGATGGTCTGTCCTTCTTTGGCCTCAAGGGTTGATCTTACCCTCTAACTCCCTAGATCCATTGCCATAAATTGGGACATCAAGGTGACTAGAGGCTATACCCTTGGTTACATCACATCTGGCCAGGGTAGTAGGACAACAGTTGTGAAACAGAGACCTCTAGATGCCAGAAACCAGGAAATCTCTCCAATCTGATAGTCTGTGTTAGGTGACAGAGGGAAAGTAATGGCACCCAAAAAGCCTGATGGAAGTATGAGGCAGATATTAACAGACAGCAGAACAGATGTAAGGTCCTTCAGAAGCAAGGGGATGGCCTGGGGATAGTTGCACTGCATGCCTTTGGCTCTTAGACTCAGACTTGATTCTTATTCACAGGATTATCAATATTCTGAACAAAGATGTTTCTATCATCTTGCCTGTGGACACCTACAACCTCAAGAAATACAACGGGACCTCTTCAGAGCTAAGCATCGAGATAAGCAGGTGACTTATCATCTCCCCTATTATCCTATGGCTATTTTGGGGGAATGGGCAACCTGGACCCCATCACCACTTAGTATAAGCAGCAAAACTTTCCTGCTGTCTCTGATCCCTCTTAATGTTTATGCCTTCCCTCTTTTGATTATCTCCAATTTATCCTGTTTATATCTTGCTTTTTACATGGTTGTTTGCATGCTGTCTTCCCCATCACACTCTGAACTCATTGAGAGCAGGGACTGTCTTTTACCTTTCTTTGTATCCCCAGCACTTAGCAGAGTGCCTGACATAAAGTAGGCATTTAACTGACTGACTGACTCTCACCAGAAACGTAAATCTGCTTTGTATGATTGAGAAGAAGAAAAATGTGCTAAAACTGGGCTTGCTGGAGTTTGGAGCCTCTTACCTGGTCTTTCTTACTGAGGTGAGTGACCAAGGTAAGGCCAGCCAAGATGTCTGAGCCTAGCTTTCTATTCTTATCCTCCTACCCACCCTAGACTCTTTCTCCTCTACCACTGTATATACTCTGGCCTTCATTTGCTTCCTCAGGACACCCCAATACTGAAAACCTGGAAAACAAGGCAGCATGAAATCAAGTCCCTTTCCATTGGGTGGCAATTACCACAGATACTTATAATGGGGATAGGGAAATATTTACTCATTGTTTCCTGCATGGAGTTTTTCTACTACAAGGTCAGAGATTCTTCAGGATCAGAAATAATATAGACAATGGAAGGAGAGTGGTGAAGAAGATGGTGGAGGGGGGGAAGGGGTGTGTTAGGGACTAGGGGAATGATAAGGAAAAACAGGTGGGAAGGAGTGGGAGATTAAGCTTCAAGTCAAGTCTTTGGGAAATGTGTCAGGACCTGGATCTTGGTGGGAGTAACTAAACTGGCTTTTGTGCCCTAGGCCCCAAAAGACATGAAAGTTACCATGCAGGCTTTGTGGACAAGCACGCTTTTCAGCAGTTCTCTGATTCTGTATTTTATGACCTACATCTCCTTCCTGCCTGAGGTACAGACCCCTCCTTCTTATATTCCCCTTTGTAAGACTAGGTGCCCCAGCCCCAGGTAGAACCTCTCTCCAGCTTCTCTAGGGCCTTGCGTCTCTCCTGGTCCCTGCTGCCCCCAATTCCAGCCTTTGGCACCCATACCAGACCCTTAGCATGGTAACTATAGCAGGGGCTATTTATTTTGGCTGCTGCCAGGATGCCACTCTGAGTTGGACCAGACTGCCACTGAGGTCCCCTCCATCTCTCAAATTCTGTGATTCTGTGATGACAAAGGAAGGCAGCCCTATGCTGGCCTCACTAAGACCAAGCAGAATCCATTCCCAGACAACTCTGTGACACCGCCCAAGCTGTTGCTGAAGCCATGGCACAGTCACATGTGCTACCCCGAGGCTGTTATCACCTACGGCAGGTCGTGAGGCCCCTTGCTTTTGCCTCTGGGACACGGGGTGGTCTAAGACGAAAAGCAAGCTGCTTTCTTGGAGTCAAAGCAGACCAGTTCTAGGAGGGGCCTTGCTAGAATTCTTCTGGACGCCTTCATCCTGTCTTCAGCCATTCATCCAAACAAAGAAAGTAGGCCAGTCCTAGATCTGGGGGTACTTCTCTGCCAGAGGTCATTTCTATGCTTTTTTTTCTAGAGAAGAGGTGGTTTCAGGGTAAAGATGGACCTTGGCTCATGATATATGAAGACAAGTGCCTATAACTGGACAAGTGGGGAGGGGGCATGAAGGAAGGAGACAGACCCTCATGTCTTCGTATATTTTTATCCATAGGGAATCCAACCTTTATCTTGTTGCCAATGTATGGTGTTTAGAAGAGAAAAGTCTTTTTCCCTTTCAAGTTCCATTCATTCCTTTGTATTCAAGTCAAAGTAGCAGCATAGCCATGATATCACAGCCCTCTCCTTAAAGTTTGTGGTAGAAGAAGAGGAACTAGCTAGTGAAACTGTACCACATATTGACAAAGGCCAGGATACAACCACAGTGATGGGGTGGCCAATGTATGATTTAGATGAAAGTCATTGAACATAAAGGGATGAGTATTACAGGATCACCAACATGAAGTATTAAAGTCACCAGTGATAATGGGATGGGAGGAGTTAAGAGGGAAGAAAAAGATCACTGAACTGGGAGTCAGAGGGCCTTGATCAAGCCCATTTCTTTAGGCTTCAGTTTCCTCATCTGTAGATTGGAGTTGAACTGTGTGACTTTTAATGGTAGCTCCATTCATGAAACAAACATCAAGCCACACTAGGTGCCAGACCCTGATACATGTTAGGGATAGTGATAAAAACAAAGTAATCCCCACCTTCAAGCAGTTTACATTCTTTTGGTAGAAGCAGTTTACACATTTACAAAATAATGGAGGGAAAAACAACTATAAAGTAATTTGGGAGAGGTACTAGCTCCTGGGGGCATCGAGAAAGGTTTCACATGGGGGTAGCACTTGAGTTTTGATAGAAGCTAAGGATTCTAAGAGGCAATGGTGAGAGACATACCTTCCCAAAATAGGGGACATTGTGCAAAAAGAGAGCTGTAATGTTATATATATGGGACCATTCTATGATTCCATAGTTCCTTAAATCCATTCTGATTGTGTGTCTGTTTCCTTCTTCAGTGGATCGAGGACTTCTTACTTTCTAACATCCTACTGGCTGTGGTCATTAGTTTCTTCATCATAGGCTATTACTACCAAGAAACTGTACTGACCTTGTGGAGAGAACCTTTCTCCTGAATTCAGACCCCCACCCCCTTCAACCACACTTGAGGAACAGATGGAGAAACTGTACATTCGACCCAGACCCATCATCCCCATCCCAGTCTTTTCCTCCTTTCTGACCCTCCCATGGTCATTCCTTGCCCCCAGCCCTTCTCCTCAGTGGTCCTACACATTGGCTAGAGACCAATTTCATTTAACTCTGGGTCAGAGTATGTGTGTTCTTGGAGCTGAGAGGCTGGGGCAGGGGTAGTGGGGAAGGAAAGGTGAGAAGGAAGGGGAAAGATACAAGATGAGCTCCTCTCACTCATGAGGATGACTGGGAGAAAGCTTTAGTGAACATTTGGCCACGGTGTCCTCATGTCTCCCCAGCTGGGGAGTGAGTATGTGGAGGGAATTTGGGGAAGAACAGAGTAAAGAAAAAGAAACAGTGGCTGGCTATGTGATTGGTTCCCAGGATCAGAGTAGGGGAATGAGGGGAGGGTCAGGAGGAAAGTGCCCCTATCCAGAGTTTGAATAAAGTCCTAAGTCACACAATAAACCCTATGGAGACAAATATGGCTCCCTACTTTTTTCACCCTTGCTACCGGGGATGGGAAGGGCAGGATATATGAAGGGAGGGAAAGAAAAGAGGTTATAGGAAAGGTATATTGTAATATAATGGATAGTCAGGAAGATGTGAGTCAAGCTTTGCCCCCAATACACACTGGCTTGTGCAACCACGAACGAGTCACCAGGACTCTCAGTTCTCCAAGATGAGTGGCTGGGGAAATCCGTACACTGGGAATTCCCTATATGGATGGAATCAAGGGTCCAAATCATAAAAGGTGGCAGGGGGAGACATAGAATTCCTCAGTTTAGGCTAAATACTGTATGGCTGGGGATAGGGGTAAGTACAAGGGACAAGTCTTACCATCAAGGGCCATACAAACACAAGACTCCCTCTGAGTTTCCTTATACTACACAAATCAGCAACACCATTCAGGGCTTCCCTTGCAAACTGAGTCCTAGATCAAGTTTTCAATTCATTTCAGTAGCAGTAAAATGTGCTCAGTTAAATCAGTGGAACTGATGTATGAAGAAACACCTATACATTTACAGCATAAAAAACTACATTTACAGCATAAAAAACTACATTTATAGCATATTTTCCCCAAATTTCTCTAGAATTTTACATTCAAGGGTATCTGGAATCAAAAGTCCTAGAAAGAAAACCTCTCCAGAGGTCCCCACAAAAGTGAAGGGCCAAATTTTAATCCAGACAAGGGCCTACATCTAACACTAAAAGTTTCCATTTTGTCTGACAAGTTACCTGTGACCACATGCTATGTGTCTTTCCTCTGGGGGAAAAAAAAGGTTATTTTTACAGAAACACAAAATTTGAAAATTGGAAGGGGATCTTCATGACACTAGTCCAACCTGAAAAAATTCATTACAACATGCCTGGCAAGAATGGCCCTCAACAACATGCCTCTTGGCTAATCAACATATTTTTAATTCTTATGCGAAAGACTTCACGCCATCAAATTGTCACACAAAAGGGTGGGAGACTTTTTTCCATACCTCAATAGAAAGTGCCATAGCCTACACTCTCAAGTGAATTAGAGTGTGTGAATTATTTTCCTGATCAGTCTTTGATCCTTGAGGTTAGCTGGGATACCATGTAAAATGTGTTCAAGCTTTAATAAAGATCCCAGAAAGCTTGGCCAAAATGCATAGGATTAGATACCCTTACTCTGTATTCCTGCCACCACCACTTAGCTCCTTGCCCCCCTTATACTGTGGCCCTGGTTACAGTTCCCATATAACACAGACCCCCAGGCTCCTACCCCTTGAAGGTCAGGTATGTTACCTTCTTTTACTCTGTCCTCAGCTGCTGGCTGCCTAGTACCCTTAAAGGAATTTGGGGGGTCCTGCCATTGTCTCTAATCCCCACTGATGGTGTTCCTTCAATCGAAGGGGTGCTTTCTACCCCAGTTCCATTAGTCACTAATATATTAGCTTTTACACAGAGAAAATTTCATTCAAAAGGTATAATCACAAATATCCAAACACACTCTGCCCCTCTACACACACACACACATACACACAAGAACTACATAATCCTTCTCCTCCTCCTCCCCACCCCAGCCTCTTGGGAGGAGAATAGTATGAGGTTCATGGCTTAGTTTGGTTCCCATAGAACACAATCCTAGTTACAATTTCAAAATTCCCCTCACACCTGAGTCCCAAGCACCCTGGTTTCTCAGGGTTCTATGCCCACATGGCTGCACCCACCTCCACTGCAATCCTGACTCTAAGCTCCAAAGTCAGCATGGCTCAAGCTCCCACTCCAACACCTAAAACTGAGGACAACAGAAACAAACACTCCCAGGCCTGTTTCTTGGGGGTGAAAAAAAGGGGGAGCCAGGAAGGATTTTCTTTGAGCTGAGGTAAAAGTGAGGTAAGCAGGAGATAGTCCTTCCCCTTTCACGAGTTCAGTTCATGGCATCCATTTTGGGCACCGCACATAGAAGATGAAGAAAAGCTAAAAAAGTGAATGGCTTAGTCTTACACCAGTTTTAAAGATATAGGCAGTCAATCTAAGGAGACTACCTCCACACCCATGGCAGCGGATGAAGAGGGCTTCTTTTCAGCTAAATTGGGCATGCTGTAAACATAGCCAGAGAAGCCTGGATTACCTATTTCTCCCTGTTTGAAATTTGCCTTCCAGGACATTAGACAGGGGCACATTTCTTTTTTTTATAGTGCTCATCCCAAATTCAAAATGGTTCTCCACGGTCTCTGAGGAAGCATAAGCAATGTCCATTTATTTGTTTCCCCAGTGCCTTACGGAGAGTCTCAAGTATCATATACAGTCCCAAATGAACAGATAAAATTATCTCCAAACAAAAACTTTTGCAGATTCACATAACAAGGAATACTTCATGAAGTTCCCCCAATAAGTCAACAAAATAAGCATTTTACTAAGTTTACTAAATATCTCTGCTTCGTTAGCCTTATTAACCTCATAAGTCCTTTCTCAACCCACAAGCAAAAGAAAGCGCAAAGACAAAACTAATTCCCAACTTGGACAGAAACCTGGTCCACACTGAGCTTTCTAAACTACATGGACTCCCAATTGATCAATGGTCAAAGGATATGAACAGGCAGTTCTCAGAAGAAGAAATCAAAGCTATCAATAGCCTTAAGAAAAAATGTTCTAAATCACTAATAGAGAAATGCACATGGAAACAAATGAGGTATCCCCATCAGATTGTCTAAGATGGCAGAAAAGGAAAATGACAAATTCTGGAGGGGATGTGGAAAAACACTAATGCACTGTTGGTAGAGTTATGAATTGGTCCAACCATTCTGGAGAACAGTTTGGAACTACACCCAAAGGGCTACAAAAACTCTGCATATTCTGATCCAGCAATACCACAACTAAATCTGTATCCCAAAGAGATCAAAGGAAAAGGAAAAGGACTTACATGTACAAAAATATTTATACTAGACTTTTTTTGTGGTGGCAAAGAATTGGAAACGAAGGGGATGCCCATCAATTGGGGCATGGATGAGTAAGTTATGGTATATCAATATGACAGAATACTATTGTACTGAAGAAATGATGAGGGAGATGGTTTCAGAAAAACCAGGGAAGACTTACATGAGCTGATTCAACATGAAATGAGCAGAACTAGGAGAGCTTTGTACATAGTAACAACAATATTGTAATAACTGAAAGACTCAGCTATTCTGATCAATAGAAGGATCCACAACAATTCTGAAATTCTCAAGATGAAAAATGCCATCCACTCCAAAGAGAGAATTGATGGGACTCTTGAGTGCAAATTGAAGCTTTTATTTCACTTTATTTTTCTTGCTTTCCCCCAACCCCACCATCACAACATGGCTCATATGGAAATATGTTTCGTATGATTTCATATGTATAATCATCCTATATCTTGCCTTCTTAATGGATGGGGGAGGGGCTGGAGGAAGGGATAGAATTCAAACCAGAAATTTAAAAAAAAAAGCTACATGGAGCTCTCCCCACATGGATTTGGGTCCTGGGGTTACCTTGCCATTGTCCTTCTCTCAAATGAGAAAACTAATGTGTGTAGAAACTTTTCTAATAATTCCTTCAGTGCATAAAACCATCCAACTGGGAATTGCATGAAAAGTGTCCCCTTCTACACAGAGAAACCAAAACAAAAAGCATCTCTTTATACTCAAGCCACACAAAAACAAAAAGTATTCCTTTCTACACAAGGCACACTAAAATTCTCTGGAGATCTCTCTAGCATAGGCAATATCCACAGACGTCCAGGCAATACCTTTGGGTCCTTTATCCCAAAGAGCACCTAAATTTCCCCATGGATCCTTGCAACTGTCAAGGCAAACCAAACAGAACTGCAAACTCACCCATCAGGACAAGAAAAGTAGGCTCAGGGAAGTAGCAAAGAATGTGAACCACTTATGGATTTAAGTCACAGGCTTTCTCAACCTACACAGCTGTAGAACATTTTGCTTTAACAAAAAGCAAGCAACCTATGTCTGATTACAGGCAATAAGAATATAAACATTTCTACTGGACAATAAAAATTCAACAATAAAGGTTATATTGGTAAACCAATCTTTATACAAAATTCAATAATAGAAAAACTATCAGTACATAAAGAGTCAAGCAATCAACAAATGAAAAATTTACCAGATTTAATCAGTGGAACTGATGTATGAAGAAACACCTATACATTTATAGAATAAAAAAACCCTACACATTTACAGCATATTTCCCCCAAATTTCTTTAGAATCTTACATTCTAGGGTATCTAGAATCAAAAGTCCTAGGAAGAAAATCTCTCCAGGGGTCCCCACAAAAGCAAAGGGCCAAATTTTAATCCAGACAAGGGCCTACATCTAACATCGGACCTTTTACAAAGGAATAGTTACTCAAAGATATAATCACAAACATAGAAAACTACTCCTAACGTGGATGGCATAATCATAGCTTAGTTCAGTTCCCATAGGACAGTCCAAGTTCCAAATCTAAAACTCCCCTCTGGCCTGAGTCTCAGACACCCTAGTTTCACAAGGTTTCCTTGTTTGCGTTGCTGGTTGCACTACCGCATTTGTGATCCTGGCTCCAAGCACCAAGGTCACCATGGCTCAAACTCCTCTTCTGGGATCTGAAACAGGATAAACAACTTACAACAAAAACAAACACTCCCCCACCCTGCCCCATTTCTTGGGGATGAAAAGAAAGGGAACAAGGATTTTCCTCTCACCAATTCAGTTCATGGTGTACACACTGAGCATCCGTGCAGAATGCAACAGATAGCTCAGCCCATAGGAGTTACAGAAAAGAGGCCAGCCAAAAAGAAGGTGGAAAAGGGAATGACTGGTTCAGCCCTTGGGGCAGACTTCTGCACAGTAACTTGCCCTGTGGGAAGTAGAAAAAGGAGGAGTTCTGAGACCCTTGGAACAAGACTTCAAGTGTTTCTAGCAAGGGGCCTATGTTTTTCCTTCAAGTTTCTAAGAGCTCTTCTCAAGCAGGTTCAGTCCTGGACATAAGAGCACTCTGGCTACAATATCTGGGATGTTAATTGTGGCAGCCTTGTTAGTAACCTTTCTAGCACTGAGAAGACTGAAATAAAAGGTTCTAGCAAAAAAAAATTACACTTCTTTGTGGTTAAAAAAAGAAAAGATGGTGGAAAAGAGAATGATCAGTTCAGTCATGCCAATTTTAGAGACACAGGCAGCCAATGGAAGGAAGCTACCCCTCCCAAGAGGATTCCATGTTTGGCAAAATGCTCAAAAACACCCCTCAAGGATGTCTCTATGTTAGAACTGGGCATACCTAGAGAAGCCTGGGTTCCATCTATAAATAATACCCAGGAAACAGATACATTTTGATGGTGTATTAATTCAACATTAATTCACATGTAATAGAGTCACATGCATGCACATTACCCTGGATACATAGGCTCCACATACATATGCATAGTATCTGGCACACAAATTAAAACTGCATACAGCTTAGCAAACATAGACATCATATGCAATCACATTGCTAAAAAAAAAAAAGAGGCAAAACAAAGTTGGATGGAGCATATAGCAAGCACAAAGGTAAAACACCACATGTTGGTGTTATGTACAAAACATACATTACTCTCCAATAGTGGACAACACAGTCAGAGAATCACAACATTTCAGAGTGGAAGGTGGTACTTTTCTTGTCCAAATCACAATACTAAACTACTCTACAACACACCTAACAATTGAAGACCACTGAAAGGAAAGCCACCCTCCTGAGGCATTCCCTTCCACTTTTGCATAGATCTAATTGTTAAGCTTTTGCTTAGGTCAAGCCTAAATATTGCCTTCTTAAACTTCTACTCATTGCTTTCAGTTCTGTTCTAACTTTAATTCCTAATAAAATAGAATAACTCAAATTTCACAAACTGCCCTATTAATGTTTGACATGTGCCTCCTTCATCCTCTCACCTTAGTCTTTTCCAGGCTAAGTAAACATAGGAGCATAGATTTAAAGCAGGGGTTCTCAAAGTGTGGCCTGGGGACCACATTCCCGAGACTCAGGGGTCTATAAGGTCAAAACTTTTCATAATAATACTAAGCTATTTTAATTTCTAATATGGGAAATATTTATATAACCCCTAAAAACAAAAATTGAACTAAAACTGAGGTTTTCAGTAATTTTTAAGAGTGTAAAAGAGTCCTAAGATTCAAAAGTTTGAGAAGCACTGATTTAAAATAAGAGATGAACTTAGTCCGGTGACGTCAAACTCAAATAGGAACCAGATCCCTGCCACCTTTATATCGACTTAGAAAATCACAAATTAAATTGAATGTAAGAAAACCACTGAATTAATAAATAAAACTAGGGATTGGCTTCATGAAAAAAAGCCAATAAAATAAACCATTGATTAATATGATTTTAGAAAACAGAGAAAAAAACCAAATCACTGATATAAAAAATGAAAAGGGTGAATATATCACTAATGAAAATGAAATCAAAGCACCCAATATATATCAATAAATTTAACAATTTAAGTGAAATGGGAAAATGCTTACAAAAATATAAACTGCCTAGATTAACAGAAGAAGAAGTAGAATATCTAAATAAACCTATTTTAGAAAAAGAAATAGAACAGGCCATAAATGAGCTTCCTAAGAAAAAAGCATCAAGATCAGATGGATTTACAAGTGAATTCTACCAAACATTTAAAGATCAACTCATTCAGATATTAAATAAATTACTTGGAATAATAGGCAAAGGAGTCCTACAAAACTCCTTTTATGAAGCAAAAATGGTGCTGATACCTAAATCAGGAAGAGAAAAAACAGAGAAAGAAAATTAAAGACAAATTATATTAATGGATATGGATGCAAAAATCCTAAATAAAATACTAGCTACAAAACTACAACAATATATCACAAAGATTATACATTGTGACCAAGTGGGATTTATACCAGGAATACAGGGATGGTTTAACATAAGGAAAACTATTAACATGATTTCTTATATCAATAACAAAAGTAACAAAAATCATATGATTATATCAATAGTTGCAGGAAAAAAGCTTTTGACAAAATACAATCCTCTTCCCTCTTAAAAACACTTGAAAACATAGGTATAAAAGGATTTTTCCTTAAAATAATAAGCATCTACCTAAAACCATTAGTATGCATTATTTGTAATGGGGATAAGCTATAGAAAAGCCTTCCCAGTAAGATCAGGGGTAAAGCAAGGATGCCCATTATCACCAATATTATTCAATATTGTATTAGAAATGCTAACAATAGCAAAAAGAGAAGAAAAAATGAAGAAATCAGAATAGGCAATGAGGTAATAAAACTAGTTCTTTTGGCAGACAATATGATGATATATTTGGAAAATCCTAGAGATTCAACTAGAAAGCTTGTTGAAACAATAATTTTAGCAAAGTAGCAACATATAAAATAAACCTACACAAATCATTAGCATTTTTATATATCACCCTCAAGAAGAGGTAGTATGAAATACCTCATTTAAAATAACTGTAGACAGAACAAATTCCTGAGAGTATATTTGCCAAGACAAACCCAGGAACTACATGAGCATAATCATAAAAGCATTTTTATACAAATCAAGTCAGATTTAAATAATTAGAGAAACAGTCATTGTTCATGGGTGGGCAGAGCCAATATAATAAAAATGACAATTTTACCTAAACTAATCTGCTTATTCAATGCCACCCCAATTTTTTTTTCTGTATCAAATTTGTTTTATTCTTTATAGTTTCTCAATCATTTTGATTCAGTCATTAGTGCTGCTTCCGTCTGAAGGAGCATCCTTCTGTGAGTCTTGCCTTTCCTCCAGTAGGCTGACAGATCACAGTGGAGCATCCCACACAGACAACCACTGTTTGTGCGTGGCTGAAGACAGTGGTGATTTTATAGCACCCCAGGCACTTTATGTCCATGAAATACGAGTTCGGACTCTGTACCAGGCGCTCCTTCTTGTGTTTCTGCTTCTCCTCCTCAGGAGAGGGGTGCATGAGGTCTTTCTTGAGAGGTATGTTGGCGCAGGGAGATCTTCACTGCCGGAAAAGCTAATGCCACCCCAATTAAATTACAAAAAAAAATCGAGCAAGGAAAAATAATAACAAAGTTCATTTGGAAAAACAAAAGGTCAAGAATATCAAAGGAATTAATTAAAAAATAAAGGAAGGAGGCTTAGCAGTACCAGATCTTAAACCATAAGGCAGTAATTAGCAAAACTATCTGGTACTAAGAAATAGAAAGGTAGATCAGTGGAACAGTAAATATACAATACAAAGTAGTAAATTATTAGAGTAAACTTGTGTTTGACAAATGTGAACATTTAAGTTTTAAGGGATAAGAATTCACTATTTGGAAAAAAAAGTTGGGAAAACCGGAAAGCAGTCTGGCAGAAATTGGGCATAGAACAATATCTTACACCATTTACCAAGATGAGGTGAAAATGGATACATGACCTAGATATAAAGGGAGATATCATGAGAAAATTAGAAGAACATGGAACACAGTACCTATCAGACTTACGGATAGGATCACTGTGAGATGTAAAATGGGAAATTTTGATTACATTAAATTAAAGAGGTTTTACACAAATAAAACCAATGTAGCCAAGATTAGGAGGAAAGTAGAAAATTGAGGGGGGGGGATTTTACAGACAGTTTTCTCAGATAAAGGTCTCATATCTCAGATATATAGAAAATCTTTTCAAATTTATAAGAATATGAGTCATTCCCCAAATGATAAATGGTCAAAGGATATGAACAGGCAGTTTTTTGATGAAGAAATCAAAACTATATGTAGTCACATGAAAAAATGCTCTAAATCATTATTGAATAGAGAAATGCAAATTAAAACAACTTTGAGATATCATCTCACACTTATCAGATTGGCTAAAATAATAGAAAAGTGGCAAATGTCGGAGAGGATGTGGAAAAATTGGGACCTAGTACATTTTTGGTGGAACTATGAGCTTGATCCAACCATTTTAGAAAACAAACTGGAATTATGCCCAAAGAGTTATAAATCTGTGTGTACCCTTTGATCTAGCATTATCCGTTAGGTCTGTTTCCCGAGGTGATCAGGGAAAAAGGGAAAGAACCTTTATGTTCTAAAATATTTATCACACCTCTTTTTGTGGTGGCAAAAACCTGAGAGGGGAATGTCCATCAATTGGGGAATGGCTAAACAAGTTGTGGTATATGATTGTGATAGAATACTACTGTGCTATAAGAAATGATGAACTGCTTGATTTTAGAAAAACCTGGAAAGACTTACATGAACTGATACAGAGTGAAATGAGCAGAACTAAGAGAACATTGTATACAGTAAGCAATAATGGTTGAAGAAAAACTGTGAGGGGCTAAATCATTTCGAGTATTATAAATACTCAAATCAACTACAAAGGACCTATGAAAGAAGATTCTATCCACCTCCAGAGAAAGAACTGATCAACATCTATGTCAAATGTAGGCCTTCTTTAGAGTGGGATTGGGAGGGAGAGAGACACTTCAGAACTTAAAATGTAACAAAAAATAAATAATATTAAATTTTTAAAGAAAGAAAACCACAAATTATCTATGTTGTATTATATTTTTACTTTGTTAAACATTTTCATTTACATTTTAATTTGTGCATCTATGAGTTTGACATATGATTGCAAATCACCATTTTACAGATGAGGAAACTGAAATTCCAGAAAGGTTAATGGATTTGCCCAAGGTCTCACTGGTAGGAATAGAGATGGGATTTGGACCCAGGTCCTCTGACTCTATATCCTCACTCCTGTAAACCATGTTACTGCTCATTTTAATAATTCTAAAATTTTTGCAGGAATCAAAGTCAAGCTCAGTGGTCTATAGTTTGAAGATTCCATTCTCTTCCACACAAACACATCCTTTTTTTTTTTTTTTTTTTAGAGTCAAGACATTTATATTCCTCTAGTCATGCCACACCTCTCATTTGCCACAATCTTTCAAACGTAGCAGTGGCTCAGCAATCCTATCCTCTCATTTCCACTGATATCACCACTACCGAATCCAATGTCCTATTCCAAATTTGTCCTCCCCCTTTCACTGTGCCCTCTGAAATGACTACTTTATCATTAGCAAACTTCCCTCAAGACTTTTTCCTCTTATTTTCCTTCTACTTTTGGGCTCTCACTGAGACTCACTCCTCCTGGATGTGATCGCCTACCGGGCCCTCCTTCATTTCTAGTTATAATAGTTGTATCTTTATCCTACGTTTAATTCACTCGTCCCAGAGGTGGAATGTGATGAGATAAGCCCTTTTCACGATGATAAGAGAATTTTGGGGAAGTCTCTTGCTGCCATTCGCTTAATATGAGCAGATAGTTAGCTACAATCTGCAGAATCAAGCTGAGACTTCAAGTATAGCCGTGGCATTATCTGTTTAGTTCCTGCTCTGTCTGTCTACAAATAGCTTAAGATGTCACCTAGCATCAGTTGGTTTCCTGTTTTACTTGACATAGATCTTCTCCCTCAGCTATCTGTTCTTTGCTCTATAAATCACCATCTTCCCTCACTTACTCCCTGAAATTTGATTGTACTCATCTTGTTTTTGTAACTAAAACCTATATAAGGTTGCTGAAACTGCAGCTAAGGGCTCTGATTTTTGTATATAGTGAGTCTGTGCACTGAACATGACAAATTGGTTTTCATTGCATCTTTGCAGTATTGGTTATATAAATTGGCATCAGTATCTATCAACAAATCCCCAGACAATTTTTGCCATATCACAAAGGCCATGCATTCTATATTTGCCATTGATCCCATGACTTCCCACCCTCTCCAGGAGACTGCTACACTATCAATCACCCCTTTGCTCTCCAACCTCTGGATTTTGATTCCTTTCCTTGATGGGATCATACACAAAATCCTACCATTCATTCCCTTGTCCCAAAACTACCTTATATTCATTATGTATATATTGTTGCCCTTACCCAAAAGCTTGGAGGGGGATGGATGTTGGAATTAAATAGCTCCTTGGGTATGGGAGAAATGGACAAAGACTGCCGCCTCCCTTTCCAAATGAACCCCAAAGGATAACTTCAGTAAGTATCCTGAGGTAGAGTTTCCAGTGAGAAATGCCTTGCTGCCTTTGCTAAACTAAAGTATCCCATACCAAAACCCCTTAATATCGCACCAGGAATTTCCCTGACACATTTGTGTAACACAAAGACCTTCCCCCTCCCCTCCTTAGAAATAGCCCTCTCTCAAAGCACTCTAACTTTCGATATTTTATTTTAAGTGAGAGGAAAGACGTTTGCTACTGCGGCTGTGTCCTTCACTGTCTCATTTTTGCTTTAGCTGCTAAAGGAAGAGGATTCCAGGAAAATCCTGGAACTTTTCCTGGGAAAGTTCTCCTCCCTTGTCTGGTCTGATTGGCAGATTTCTTTAAGTGAGACTAGCTATGCTGAGATGATAGCCCCCCTTACCTATCATCTCCTCTAGCTAAGAATACACATTTTTCTCCAATAGTACACTATTCTTTTTGTTTAACCACCTGTTTTCTGAATAGCCACTTTTCTTTTATTTCACACAATTCACTTTGAATATTGTTGAGCTCCTGAATGCTGCCCTAAAAATCTGCATATAAGGAGAATTTTGAGTCATGTTCAGGGTAGATTGCCATCCATCTTGCAATCTCTCCCAATCAGCAGGTATAAATAGCTACTTGTTTCACTCTTAATGGACTCCTTACTGCTATATGTGACCCTGACCTCAAGTACAAACCCCGATTGGTAAGTGATGATCCTCTAGGGTCCCTAAAAAAAGTTCCACTACCTGGGAAGGGGGTCATTTTATCCTTACTGAGTGGAGGGGATAAGAGTGATAGATGGAAGAAATATGGAGGCCTCGGAGGCCAGAAAAGCACATCTGTCAGTGTGGCCTGCTAAGGCTGGGGGAGTAGAAAGCTTGGAAGATACTATTCAACTACGTGGAAAGCAGCCAGACGTCGTCCTCTACAGCAAGCAGATAAATGGGATTGCGACAGCCCAGCTAGCGTACGTGTCTGGAAGGGCTATCTCAACACATTCCACCTTTGGGACAAGTAAATTAAGTGTAGAATAAAGATATAACTGAGTCATAGTGGAGTCTCCTCCTCCCTTCCCCCTCCCTCACCTGCAAAGCAAGGTGACTGGGGCGTCTTCTTTCTTCTTCCCTCTCCCTTCCCTCCGTCTGTGCAGGTAAAGATGAAAACTACCAGCAACAATTGTGTTCTGTGTTGCTAGCCACCACGGTTGGAGGTACTTTGTAAGCCTGGCTCTCCTTCTATAAATTAATTTCTTTCCATTGTCTGTGTACATACAATTTCTTGAGATCAGTGTCCCTGGACAGAGCACTCTGAGGGGATTTGTATTTTACAAATTCTGAATTTGGTCTGAAGGATTCCATAGTTCCCCTTTAGGGGTGAGACGGAAGGGGTTGCTTGATTCACAGTTAAGTTTATGGATGATCCTATTATCTCTCCCAAACAAAAACTCAAAACTTGGACTTGGGTCTAATCAAGACAGTAGAGAGGGAGAAAAAACAAGAACCCAGGACAGCCTTAGGAGACACCCACAGTTAGTGAGTGTGATTTGGAATAGACCTTCTCTATTAGGGTGTGAGCTCAGGTTTCCTGAAGCTTCTTTGGAATGAAAAGACATAGGAGGGGTACAGAGACCCTTCTCTTCCAGAGAAACCTAGTATTACATTATGTACATACTTTTACTCAGAGCTTCCTGATCTGAGCTTGTTTTTTTTTTAATCTTGTATTTCAATATAATGTTTCTTTTGTCACCCTATGTATTTTATTTTCTGCATTAAAAAAAAACACATTATTTTGAGAAGGGGTCCACAGGCTTCACCAGACTTCCAGAGGAGTCCGTAACACACAAAAAATTATGAACCTCTGTTGTATATACTGACTCTACGACAATGAAATTTTATATATATATATGTATATATATACACATATAAAATTATTATGTAAACTTCATGGGAATGGGGACTATTTTGTTTTTATTTATATGCTCAGATGTAGCATGGTACCTAACATAATCTTGAGCACATGATAAATATTTGATTGACTGTGACCAAGAATAGACACAGAAGACACCCGTGAAGGGAACACGCATGACCAAGGAACACACATGAAAGAGCACACATGCCTGGTACACAGGGCTAGTGCACGTGTCTGGAAGGCCCAATCTGAGGGGAAAGGTAGACAGGACGACTTGTTCCTTCACAGGTATTTCTTTTCTCTTATCACATTCCTTTTTGCTACGTCACATTGGGCATCATACCTCCACTCTTTGTTGGGCACTGTTATTCACTGGGCAATAGATCATCTTTGCTGGGCTCTGCCCTCTGCTGGGCATTTCTACTTGTCTCATGGTTCGTGAGCATCATCCGTGAGTTGTGTTCTGCTGTCATCTGCTACAATGTAGCCAATAATGAGCCCCTTTCTTGCAAGGAGAAGCAGAACTCTTCCAATGGAGTGGTCTCCAAAACTTTCCCTATCAGGAAAAAAATTTTGAGCCCATACTCCTATGTATGTCTATATATTTCATATATTAATTACTATATATCATAAAACATAAAAATAAAAATTTTTATAAGTATTAAAGACAAACCACTTTAAAATATTTTATTCTATTTATTAACAGTACAAAAAAAAATCCTTTCTAATCTCAATAGTCAGTCAACAAACATTTATTTAAACATCTACTATGCACCAGACACTGTGCTAACTGTTTGGGGGTATAAATGCAAACAAACAAACAAACAAAAAAACAGTCAAGGAGCATACACATAGATGAGGGAGAAACAACATGAAAGTCACAAGGTACACACAAGATATATTTAGAATTGATAGAAAAAGAAAGGCTCCTTGCACAAAGGCTTTGAGCTGAGCCCTGGAGGAAGCCAGGGGAATGAAGGGGCAAGGATGAGGGGGTGGAGCATTCCAGGCATGGAGGACACAGAGTCTGGAAATGGAATGTTGTGGAATGGCTTGCAAGAGGATCAGGAAGAACAGCTAGGAAGGGACCTTTAAAAGCCCCTTTGTGAAGGGCTTTAAAGGCCAAACAGGATGTCATTTGGAAGCAACAGGGAGCTCACTGAGTAAGAGGTAACACAGCTACACTTCGCTTCGGTAAGATCACTTTGGCAGCCCAGCTGGAGTAGACAGAGATCTTAGCCAGGAAGATCAAGTACAAGACTACTGCTGTAGTCGACATGTGCCTTGTGAGTAGAGAGGAAAGAAGGCATATGAGACATGTAGTGATAGCAGAAACAAGAATTGGCAACAGACTGGTTGTGTGGGTTGAGTGGAAGTGAGGTGTTGGCCAGGACACTGAGACTGTGAGCCTGGGTGAATGGAAGGATGTGATAGCATCTTTGATTGGAATGGAGAAGTATGTGAGAAGAGAGGGTTTTGGCAGGGGAGGGGAGGATAATGAGTTCTGTTTTGGACCTAGTGAATCTGAGTTGTCTTTGGTGGTGATGGAAGAACAGAGCTCAGGAGAAAGGATAGGTCTGGATATGGATCTGGGAACCATCTGCATGGAGATAACTGAACCCTTGGGAGATAATGGGATTACCAATCAAGACAGTAGAGAGGGAGAAAAACACAAGAGCCCAGGACAGTCTTAGGAGACACTCACAGTTAGTGGGTGTGATTTGGATGAATAGCTAGCAATGGAGACGCAATGGAGCCTCAGGAAGAACCAGAAGACAGCAGTGTCACAAAAACCTAGAGAAGAGAGAGTATACTGGTAGAAAGTGATCAGTAGTGTTAAAGGCTGCAGGTTAAGTCAAGGATGAGGAGCAAGAACGGCCTGTTACATTTGGCAATCACTTGGAGATGTTTCTTGGAAAATTTAATTTAAATTTAAAATGAAAAATTATTACTGATATTTTATACACAGAAAAGATAAGAAAGAAGTTCAGAAGTAAACACTGAGAAGCAAGGCAGTGTTAGAACTGCTATATTAAATTCGAAATATTTTTTTTAGATGCTAGTCATAAATAGTGGAGATAATAGTATTTTTTTTCTTTGTACAAGGGAATGTTCTTGTTTCTTCATGTTTGTGTCAAGTTCGTAATATTAAAAAGAAAAAAAAATTTTTAATTTGTAGTGATAGCAATGTGATTGAATATGCAGTCAACAAACATTAAGTACCCTATTCTGTGCTAAGTAAG